AACAATGACCACGACAACAACAACAACACCAAAAACAACAACAACGACGACGACAACAACAACAACAACGACAACAACAACAACGACAACAGCAACAACAACAACAGCAACAACAACAACAACAACAACGACAACAACAACAACAATTACTAGCACGTGGGGACACTCCGTTCTCACCAGTGCCAGGGTTTTCATACGACGCCCGCCAATACCCCCACTTTGTGGGGGGGCCGGTTCAAGCTCTACCACATTTCCAAACGACTCTTCGCCACCACCCACACCCAGCTTCCCGCCCTATGACGTTCGGACACTTCACTTCGTGGCCTGCGGACGACCGTGGCTACTACACTGGCGCATGGGTACAGTGACTTGTTGTGGTAACATTTTCTGGACGCTAGCTTAGTATACGCCTTTTCCACCTGTTCCAACACTGCGAAAGTAGCTCGCGCGAGCTCATGTAACATAAATGTTGAAAAACCATTGGTTTTTTAGGATTCGGACAGCGCGCGCGGGTAGAAATTTTGAAAATTCGTACAGATGTTTTTCGAAGACCTACGGTGCGATTCGTATGATTTTATGTTGCGCGGTGCTAAAATTCCTAAGAAACCCAATGGTTTTTGAAGATTTCGGCGTGCGCGCGCGAAGAAAAAACGAATGTGTCCCGCATGGTATTATTTGATAGGGATGATGGCCCTGGCAGGTGCGCAACCGTTGTTGGCAGAAGTTCGAAAAAGTTGCTCGCAAAAGCCCGTTTGACAGAAATGTTTAAAAAGTGTTGGGTTTCCTACGAATCCGCAAGAGCGCGCGGGATGAGATTTTGACATTTTTTTGTTGAAAAACCATTGGTTTTTTTTTGATGTTTTTATGTTAAAATCGCTACGAACACTAAGGTTTTGGAAGGATTTCGTCTTGCGCGCGCGAATGTCCACTTTACCTTATTTTTTGCAAGGGATTCTTGAAGTTTGGTTATGTTAGAACAAGAAATGTCCACTTTGCCTTATTTTTTGCAAGGGAAAACCGCCCGTAACAAAACAACCGGATCCGGACCAACCCGTTTTGCCGGAGACTTCCTCACGAAAATGATGAAAACATGGCTGCGGCCTAGGCGCGGCGAGGGGGCCGCGCACCAGGGGTCCCAACAATAATTATTCTTTAGAAGTAATAATGTTCAACAACAACAACAACAACAACAACAACAACAACAACAACAACAACAACAACAACAATTACTAGCACGTGGGGACACTCCGTTCTCACCAGTGCCAGGGTTTTCATAGGAGGCGGGCAATACCCCCACTTTGTGGGGGGCCGGTTCAAGCTCTACCAAATTTCCAAACGACTCTTCGCCACCACCCACACCCAGCTTCCCGCCCTATGACGTTCGGACACTTCACTTCGTGGCATGCGGACGACCGTGGCTACTATTCAGGGCCCCGCGGCCGACGACGACGGCGTGCGCGCGCGAAGAAAAAACGAATGTGTCCCGCATGGTATTATTTGACAGGGATGATGGCCCTGGCAGGTGCGCAACCGTTGTTGCAGAAGTTCGAAAAAGTTGCTCGCAAAAGCCCGTTTGACAGAAATGTTTAAAAAGTGTTGGGTTTCCTACGAATCCGCAAGAGCGCGCGGGATGAGATTTTGACATTTTTTTTTTGAAAAACCATTGGTTTTTTGATGTTTTTATGTTAAAATCGCTACGAAAACTAAGGTTTTGGAAGGATTTCGTCTTGCGCGCGCGAATGTCCACTTTACCTTATTTTTTGCAAGGGATTCTTGAAGTTTGGTTATGTTAGAACAAGAAATGTCAATTTTAGCTTATTTTTTGCAAGGGAAAGCGGGATCGTAACAAAACAACCGGATCCGGACCACACCCGTTTTGCCTGAGACTTCCTCACGAAAATGATGAAAATGTGGCTGCGGCCTAGGCGGCGCAGGGGGGGCGCGCACCAGGGGTCCCAACAATAATTATTCTTTAGAATAAATAATGTTCAACAACAACAACAACAACAACAACAACAACAACAACAACAACAATTACTAGCACGTGGGGACACTCCGTTCTCACCAGTGCCAGGGTTTTCATAGGAGGCGGGCAATACCCCCACTTTGTGGGGGGGCCGGTTCAAGCTCTACCAAATTTCCAAACGACTCTTCGCCACCACCCACACCCAGCTTCCCGCCCTATGACGTTCGGACACTTCACTTCGTGGCATGCGGACGACCGTGGCTACTATTCAGGGCCCCGCGGCCGACGACGACGGCGTGCGCGCGCGAAGAAAAAACGAATGTGTCCCGCATGGTATTATTTGACAGGGATGATGGCCCTGGCAGGTGCGCAACCGTTGTCGCAGAAGTTCGAAAAAGTTGCTCGCAAAAGCCCGTTTGACAGAAATGTTTAAAAAGTGTTGGGTTTCCTACGAATCCGCAAGAGCGCGCGGGATGAGATTTTGACATTTTTTTGTTGAAAAAACCATTGGTTTTTTGATGTTTTTATGTTAAAATCGCTCCGAACACTAAGCTTTTGGAAGGATTTCGTCTTGCGCGCGCGAATGTCCACTTTACCTTATTTTTTGCAAGGGATTCTTGAAATTTGATTACATTTGAACAAGAAATTTCATTTTATAGTGTTTTTTGCAAGGGAAAGCGGGGGGGAACAAAACAACCGGATCTTGATCACATCGAATTACCTGAGGCTTCCTCACGAAAATGATGAAAATGTAGCTGCGGCCTAGGCGCGGCGGGGGGGGCGTGCACCAGGGGGCCCAACAATAATTATTCTTTAGAATTAATAATGTCCAACAACAACAACAACAACGAGGACAACAGCAGCAGCAATCTGCACCGCGGAGCCGCCCACGCGCCCCGGGACAGTGCACGACCGCTCGGCCCCCTCCCGCCGATGCTGATGCCGTGTCCGCCCCTCGGCGACAGGTCGGCGACGGGCCCCCCCGACGGCGCGGAGCCCGCACGCTCCTGGCCGGGCGGGGGGCCCGGGGCCTCCCGCGGCGGCCCCTTCGCGAGGGGAGGGCCCCTTCGCGAGGAGATAACAGCGCAGAAACGTCGGTGACGATCTTGGCCCTCCTCCTCCTCCTGCTCCTCCTCCTCCTCCTCCTCCTCCCTCCTCCTCCTGCTCCTCCTCCTCCTCCTCCTCCTCCTCCTCCCTCCTCCTCCTCCTCCTCCTTCCTCCTCCTCCTCCCCCCTCGCTCCTGCCTCCTCCTCCTCCTCCCTCTGCTTCCTCCTGCTCCTCCTGCTGCTCCTCCTCCTCCTCCTCCTCCTCCCTCCTCCTCCTCCCTCCTCCTCCCCCCCCCCCCTGGGCGTGAGAACCGACGTCGCGAGGAAACGGCACCTCGTCATCAGGCATGCAAGGAGCCCTGGGCCCCATCTTCCTGCGCCGATGCTCGAGCTGGATCGACCTGTGATGGTCCCGGGGCCCGGGGCCGGGCGAAGACGCCTGGCTCGCAGAAGCTGAGACGCCAGATCTCAGCGGAAAAACGAAAGACCGCGTGAGCACAGACGTTCGGAGGCCCGCGCGGATGTCTTGGATCGGCGCGGGACTCCTCCTCCTCCTCCTCCTCCTCCTCCTCCTCCTCCGCCTCCTCCTCCTCCACCCCCCTCCCTGGCGCGCAGAGCGCGCCAGGGGCGGCGCCAGAGGCACCGCCAGGGGGGGCGCCAGAGGCACCGCCAGGGGGGGCTCGCGCGGACCGTCGACACTCTGCGTGCACGCCGTTCTCTACTCTTCGGCTCAAGGGAGCCGACCCCCCCAACGCTGCCCCTGATTTTTTTGTTGTTCAACCTTCCCAGCGTTTGGAGCGCTGCGGGGCACCCAGCGGCCTCTTGGAGTCCCAGGGGCTCTAGGAGGCACGGCGAAATCAGTAGACTCCACTCGCGGCCGCCTGCTCACCGTGAGCTGTCTCACGATGGCGGACGGGCGGTCAGACCAGGCCTCTGACAGCCCCAACGCTGCCCCTGATGTTTGAAGATCCTGACCACTTGGGGCGGTCCGCCGCCCGCGGCACGCAGCTTGTGCCCGCCGCCCTCGCGCGGCCGCAGCGGCACCATCTGCGGCCACACCGCGGCGTCTGCGGCCGCCACGAGGGTGCCCCCGTCTCCCCAGGGGTCGCCAGGGGCGTCCCTGGCCCAAGGCACGAGGGGCGAACATGTCCGCATCCGCGCCCTCGCCGTTTGGATTCTGGGGAGCGAGCCCGCGGATGCGCGGACGTACGGATACGTTCCGCTCGGGACATTCGCGAACATTATCCCGGCAAAGCAACCTAACAGCGATGTGTAGGAGTATATCTGGAAGCATTCCCCTTACGATTCAGATGATAATCCAGTTGTAGAATTCTGCTGTTCTCGCAGTCGTAGTCGCATTCGCGATGACAGTCGCAGTGGCAACGGCAGTCGCAGTCACAGCCTCAGCCTCAGCCTGCCTCAGCCTCAGCCTCAGCCTGCCTCAGCCTCAGCCTGCCTCAGCCTCAGCCTCAGCCTGCTTCAGCCTCAGCCTCAGTCTGCCTTCAGCCTCGGCCTCAGCCTCAGCCTGCCTCAGCCTCAGCCTGCATCAGCCTCAGCCTCAGCCTCAGCCTGCCTCAGCATCAGCCTGCCTCAGCCTCAGCCTCAGCCTGCCTCAGCCTCAGCCTCAGCCTGCTTCAGCCTCAGCCTCAGTCTGCCTTCAGCCTCGGCCTCAGCCTCAGCCTGCCTCAGCCTCAGCCTGCATCAGCCTCAGCCTCAGCCTCAGCCTGCCTCAGCATCAGCCTGCCTCAGCCTCAGCCTCAGCCTGCCTCAGCCTCAGCCTCAGCCTGCTTCAGCCTCAGCCTCAGTCTGCCTTCAGCCTCGGCCTCAGCCTCAGCCTGCCTCAGCCTCAGCCTGCATCAGCCTCAGCCTCAGCCTCAGCCTGCCTCAGCTCAGCCTGCCTCAGCCTCAGCCTCAGCCTGCCTCAGCCTCAGCCTCAGCCTGCTTCAGCCTCAGCCTCAGTCTGCCTTCAGCCTCGGCCTCAGCCTCAGCCTGCCTCAGCCTCAGCCTGCATCAGCCTCAGCCTCAGCCTCAGCCTGCCTCAGCATCAGCCTGCCTCAGCCTCAGCCTCAGCCTGCCTCAGCCTCAGCCTCAGCCTGCTTCAGCCTCAGCCTCAGTCTGCCTTCAGCCTCGGCCTCAGCCTCAGCCTGCCTCAGCCTCAGCCTGCATGAGCCTCAGCCTCAGCCTCAGCCTCCTCAGCCTGCCTCAGCCTCAGCCTCAGCCTGCCTCAGCCTCAGCCTCAGCCTCAGCCTGCCTCAGCCTCAGCCTCAGCCTCGGCCTCAGCCTCAGCCTCAGCCTCAGCCTGGCCTCAGCCTCAGCCTCAGCCTGCCTCAGCTCAGCCTGCCTCAGCCTCAGCCTCAGCCTGCCTCAGCCTCAGCCCTCAGCCTCAGCCTCAGCCTCAGCCTCAGCATCAGCCTGCCTCAGCCTCAGCCTCAGCCTGCCTCAGCCTCAGCCTCAGCCTGCTTCAGCCTCAGCCTCAGTCTGCCTTCAGCCTCGGCCTCAGCCTCAGCCTGCCTCAGCCTCAGCCTGCATCAGCCTCAGCCTCAGCCTCAGCCTGCCTCCTCAGCATCAGCCTGCCTCAGCCTCAGCCTCAGCCTGCCTCAGCCTCAGCCTCAGCCTGCTTCAGCCTCAGCCTCAGTCTGCCTTCAGCCTCGGCCTCAGCCTCAGCCTGCCTCAGCCTCAGCCTGCCTCAGCCTCAGCATCAGCCTGCCTCAGCATTCAAAATGTGGCCCGGGAATGGAGTTCTGGGAACTCGAAGAACACGAAGTGGCCTACAGTTGGCTCCGGGCTTTCAAAATCATGCCCAGGAATGGAGTTCTGGGAACTCGAAGACCACGAAGTGGCCTACTGTTGGTCCGGGCATTCAAAAGCATGCCCATAAATGGAGTTCTGGGAACTCGAAGACCACGAAGTGGCCTACATTTGGCTCCGGGTATTCAAAATCATGCCCAGGAATGGAGTTCTGGGAACTCGAAGAACACGAAGTGGCGTACAGTTCGCTCCGGGCATTCAAAATCATGCCCAGGAATGGAGTTCTGGGAACTCGAAGACCACGAAGTGCGTTACTATTGGCAAAAAAAATCCCCGGATCTCACGGGAGTCCCCGAATTCCTGGGGCACCCGTCTGGCATCTGCCCAGACCCCCCTTGGGGAGTGCTGATGCTTTCTTTTGAGACCACTAGAAACCTATCAGTCTTCGCTGTTAGGTAAAAAAACGTCCCGTATCCGCGGAATCGCGTCCCAGTGTCTCGGTCCGCGAGGATGCAGATACGACGGATATGTTTTCCCCCCACGACCCAGGTGTCCCCAGCTTCTCAGCACATTTTGGAGCCCCTGGGGTGGTGAAAGCCTGTGGAAACCCTGTGGGTGGATTGGCCATGTATGTCAACGCCGCCCTCATCAGATAAGGAATCCTCCAGGGTCTGAAATCTCTTGGGCACATTCCTCAACGAACACCCCCACCGTAAAGCTTCGGATTGGGCACAGACAGCCCCCCGAGGTGGTCCTACCTGGCCTCAATCGGGAGGACCTGAGGGCTGGGTAGGGGCAGAGGTGGAGTTGGAGGAACGCCGCGAAATGGCCACTGGACAGAAAACAAACTGCGACCGTCCTGCTGAGTTGGCGATCGACCCCCACCTCAGGATGGACCCCCTCCACGAAGCCCCGCACGCACCAGGCCCCCCGAGCAGCCCCGGCGGCCTCAACACCATGGCACCGCCTCCGGCGCCCCTGGGGCGCTGAGCGCCCCAGGGTTATGTCGGGCCTGTCCCCCTACAGGGGGATTTTCGACGAAAAATAAAAAAATACCCCCAAAATAGTCCAGAAAAAATCCAAAAATAGTCTGGGGACTATTTACGGAGAATTTTTTATAACTTGTTTTTGGAAGATGTTTGAGGTATTTCTTATTTTTCGTCGAAAATCCCCCTGTAGAGGGACGCGCCCTACATAACCCCAGGGCTGGGGTGTTGAGAACGCCCTGGACTACACTGGGGGCCTGCTGAGGCCAGCTGGACCTGGGGAGGGGAGGGGGGCCGCCTGTGTGGTCTCGCGCCTCATGCTCATCCTCACCGTCTTCCCCCTTCCTCTTCCCCTTCTTCCAACCTCGCGACGCGGACGAGCGAATCCTGCAGGAGGGCACCTCGACAGTCTGAGGGTGTCTCGGATGACGGCCAATGGACAGGAAACATGTGACCCCCGAGCATGTGGCCCTTGGAGTTCCAACCCGAGGCCTTACCGCCAGGCGCCCTCTGCACCTCGCGGGGAGTGCTCTGGAGGCCATCCGGGTCTCCCGAACAAGCCACCCTGGGCCATGGACACCGCTGGCAACACCCGACCTTCGACCTCGCCCGCGCGCAGCAACTCTGGACCGTCAGCACCCAGCTTCAGCCGGCCGCCGTCCAGGGCGGCGCGCCAGTCCAGGCTCGCGTCGACCTTGAACACGAACCATCTTGCGCCCTCGTCCGCGCTCATCGGCGGTTCAAACATGGGGCCCTGAAGTTGAACATGCACTGTTTGGGGTCATAGTCTTTGACAATGGGTGCACGCAATAAGAAACCTTGCTACAATGTGTCTAGGGGCACGTTTGATCTTTCACACAAGAAAACACCTGATGATGAAAACTGCCAGCTTCCCAACTGATGGGACGATTACTCCACAGAGCAAGCCTAGAGAAAGTTGTCGGGATCCCTGTCCCGAGCAGTGCATTGCGATGGCCAGGTCCACCCGTTCTAGAGTCGACGAAAAGGCCCAAACCGCAAGAACGCAGAGAGACAGCAGCCGTCGACGAGCTCCTAATATCCTGAAGTGCTCCCCGGGGCCATCCAGAGACCTTCGGGGGCCCCCCGGGGCCATCCGGAGATCAGAAGCTTCCGCGGGGCACTTGCTGGTATTTGACCTGCCTACCCCCGCACTCCGACATCGATTTTTTGTTTTTACCACAACGTGGACCCCGGGACCAGCTTTTTCTCGCGGGTCGTTTTTGGAGGGTCCCGCACGACTAATGCCAAACACCTGCCGCCACGATCTTCCCGCAACGAGGAAGAAAGGAAGGGGGACAGGCAAGGATCACATGTGGAACTGTTGCACATTCAGCGGAGCAGAGTGAACTCAGACAGCGGCAGCTCAAAATCGGTCCCTGGACCCCTGCTCGCCTGGACCCCTGCTTCCAGGGTCCCCATGCAGCAGCTTTCCGATCTGCGTCCAGCTGTGGTGACGAGGGGGGAACACCAGGCCACCCGAAGGCCGACTGCCCGTGTCTCGATTCTTCCCCCTCTGACTCACTGGTTTGCGGACGGTTCGCGCGGCGTCGGCGCGCGCAAAGGTTTGCGGACACCGCGTCGATCGTTCAACCCTGAATCGATGATCGCGGCCCTCAGTGCTTCCACTTCCCTCGGCGCTAGCGCCTCGCAAAATTCGACCTCGAAAGACTTCGCCGGCGTCGCGGGCGTGCCAACGCCTCGTGAACCTACTGTACCGTTACTCCCCGTACATTCGGGGCGTTGACCTAATGAACCTTAAACAAGGAACGAGGCCCCTTGTTCCAACAAGCCAAGTTTTGATTCCCCATGGAAAACGAAAGGAAAATCCAAGACAAACTGTACAACTATCAAGGAACACCGAGCCCCTCCCCAACGAAAAGGGTTTCTTCTTCAGGGAACCGACTGGACATCTGCCGGGGTACGCTCTGACCAGAATGCCGAGGCGAATCCAGCGGGGGCGACGAGGCTCCCGCGAGGCCCCAAAAGGTTGCAAACGAGGCACGAGTAACGGCATTGGTATACACGTCGTTCATTTCTCATCGTGCTCATTTCCAATTGTGCTCGTTTCTACTTGTTCCTTGCCCCCTAGTGGCCAGGAAGAGGCCCAGGACAGAACAAGTAGAAATGACAGGATCTTGCCCCCCAAAAAAATCTATGAACTTTCCAAGAATTAGCCTGGCGAAGGACCCAACCATATGCAGTTGTGAGTACCGCAGTTGTGAATATAGTCCTCGGTGGAGCTCCTTATGGGGCCACGAACTGTGTGAGGGGCCTGCCACAGTGGTGGTGGTGGGGAACCGCATGCGGGCACCCCCACTGGGGCCTTCGGTGGAGCTCCCTACGGGGCCACGAAACGCTGCCCTGGGTGGGGGACCCGCATGCGGACACCCCCACCGGGGCCTACGGTGGAGCTCCCTGTGGGGCCACGAAACGCTGCCCTGGGTGGGGGAACGGGCGACCCCACTGGGGCCTTCGGTGGAGCTCCCTATGGGGCCACGAAGCGCTGCCCTGGGCGGGGGAACCGCATGCGGGTACCCCCACTGGGGCCTTCGGTGGAGCTCCCTATGGGGCCACGAAGCGCTGCTGTAGGTGGGGAACCCGCATGCGAACACCCCCTGTGGGGCCTTCGGTGGAGCTCCCTTTGGGGCCACGAAAAGCTATCCAGGGTGGGGGACCCGCATGCAAACACCCCCACTGGGGCCTTCGGTGGAGCTCCCTATCGGGCCACGAAGCGCTGCCCTGGGTGGGGGACCCGCATGCGAACACTCCCAGTGGGGCCTTCGGCGGGGCTCCCCATGGGGCTACGAAACTCTGCCCTGGGCGAAGAACCGCATGCGAACACCCCGACTGGGGCCTTCGGTGGAGCTCCCTATGGGGCCACGAAACGCTGCCCTTGGTGGAGGAACCGCATGCGAACACCCCCACTGGGGCCTTCGGTGGAGCTCCCTATGAGGCCACGAAGCGCTGTCCTGGGTGGGGGACCTGCATGCGAACACTCCCACTGGGGCCTTCGGTGGAGCTCCCTATGGGGCCACGAAGCGCTGTCAACACCCCCAGTGGGGCCTTCGGTGGAGCCCCCTATGGGGCCACGCAACGCTGCCCTGGGTGGGGGACCCGCATGCGGACACCCCCAGAGGGGCCTTCGGTGGCGCTCCCTATGGGGCCACGAAACGCTGCCCTGGGTGAAGGAACCCAATGCCCCCCCCCCCCGCTGGGGCCTTCGGTGGAGCTCCCTATGGGGCCACGAAACACTGTCCAGGGTGGGGGACCCGCATGCGAACACCCCCACTGGGGCCTTCGGTGGAGCTCCCTATGGGGCCACGAAGCGCTGTCCTGGGCGGGGGACCCGCATGCGAACACCCCCAGTGGGGCCTTCGGTGGAGCTCCCTTTGGGGCCACGAAGCGCTGCCCTGGGTGGGGGACCCGCATGCGAACACCCCCAGTGGGGCCTTCGGTGGAGCCCCCTATGGGGCCACGAAGCGCTGCTGTGGGTTGGGGATCCGCATGCGAACGCCCCCAGTGGGGCCTTCGGTGGAGTTCCCTTTGGGGCCACGAAGAGCTGTCGAGGGTGGGGGACCCGCATGCGAACACCCCCACTGGGGCCTCCGGCGGAGCTCTTTATGGGGCCACGAAGCGCTGTCCTGGGTGGGGGACCCGCATGCGAACACCCCCAGTGGGGCCTTCGGTGGAGCCCCCTATGGGGCCATGAAACGCTGCCCTGGGTGGGGGACCCGCATGCGAACACCCCCAGTGGGGCATTCGGTGGAGCCCCCTATGGGGCTACGAAACGTGTGAGAGGTGTGCAGAGGGCAAAGGCAAGGAGGGGGAGGAGCGAGGAGGGGGAGGAGAAGAGGAGGGAGGAGGGGGAGGAGGAAGGAGGGAAGGAGGAGACGCGGGGCGCTGTCTATTCAAAGCGAGGACCCAACACCACAGGATGGTTGGGAATTAGACATGAACAACGTGTATGCACCTTGCCCTGAGCCGGCGTGGTGGCTTCTAGGTCACAGCTCTCGGGCCTCTGCCGGCCGTTCGGGACGACCTGGGCACGCCCGTGGAGCGCTCTCGGCGAGGCGCAGCCTTGCCGTCGCTCGGACGTCCATTTCCAGTGCACTTTTCGGTATCGTGCGTGTTTTTTTGTCGCTCGACGATCCAGGATGCTCCTCAAGGGTCCTCGCCGAGAAAAAAATACACACGTCCGAGCGATGCCAGGCAGCCGCTGGAAGGCAGCCCTGGGCTGGAGAGCCGCCGAGAGCGAGCGACAACGCCGGAACCCCTCGGGGCCCCTTCTGTGAACCGCGGCGGCGACGAGAGCCCTCCAGGACGAGCAGTGGTATGGGCGCATTCTTCTCCGCTGACCGCCGAGGGATAATGCGGGATGACGATTAATAAAAGAAATGGGAGAGAACGATTAAAAACATAGTTTCCTGCTATTTCTGCAAAAAAAATCTGACTGGAGGAGAACGATCACAAAAATAGTTTTCCAGCCCGCGGCCAGTTTTTTCTAATCGTCATCCCGGGCGCCGCCGCGTGAACACGACCCCCGGTCATTGATTAATCGTCATCCTCCATTACTCCGAGGGGAGTCCAGCTTTTGCCCTGCAGCGCATCCAGGAGTGGACTGGCTGAGCCTGTCCTGTGCCAAACAACATGTGCTGTTGGGCGGCATCGTAAGCGCTGGGTGGAGACCCCGCACTCTGAATTCATTCACGATCCGTTCTATATGTGCCAGCCTTCATGCAGTTGCGGAATCATGTGCAATTTTCTCGCCTGAATATCTGTCTCCCGATTCGCAGCCTATTTTGGGTTCAGCTTGAGTCCGCCAAGCACGACAGCGCTACTGAGTTGCACCTAGCGCTCGAGAAAATCATGCTCAAAGAGCGCCTGGAACACTCAGGGCTCCGTGGTTGAACCGCCGAGCTCAAATCCGCCACCACCCTGGCCTGCTCCTTGGACGCCCCGACATGGGTACGGAAAAACGGATGGAACGCCGACAAAAAAAACAACCTTGCCCAACAAAAACTGACAGCGGCCGCAATTGGCCAAGCGGCCTTCTGTTTCGAATGGACGACGCCCGCGGCGATACCGACAACAAGTCCCGCTCGAAACCGAACAGGAACTGCTGTCGGTCTTCGTACCCCGTTCCGTCCCCCTCCCATCCGGATGGGGTAAGGGAAGGGGTAAGCCCCTCCTCGAAGGCGAAGAAGGGGGTTGTGGTAAAGGACAGAGAGAACTCGTGAGACCACCTACGCCCAAAGGGCTGGTAGGATCCTGTTGGCGCTCGTACCCCGTTCTTTCCGCACCCCTTTCGTGACGATCGAACACCACACACCCACACCCATATAGGGATCGGAGGGAGGAGGACGGGCTACGGGTATGGGTGCGGGCTAGCGGTCCCCAAAGGAGGCTCCTCTTTGGGCGGGGAATCCCACCCCGCAACACGCACCCATAGCCCCCTTCCGACCTCTGAGAGCATAAAACTGGCTACATCGTGAAAATTCGCGCCAAGGCTCTGGACCCCATCTTTCTGCATAATTCTTTCTAGCCGGATCGAGCTGTGAGGATCCTGGGGCCCAAAACTAGGCGAAAACACCCGGTGTGAACAAAAATGCAACGCCAGGATCTCAGGGTCGAGACCAGAATCTCGAGGCACATCCAACGGTGGCGACGAGGACCTCCCAGGAGACCCAGAAAGGCGAAAACGAGGCAAAGGTAGCGATATAGGTACTCCGAGTT